AGTATTAGTATCTTGCATTTGATAGCTGCCAATAATTTAAGTCAACTGTTTAACATCTGGCATTACTATATAATGTCTGGCTTAAGCTGTAACCTTTCCCCCCCACCCCCCCTGCTTTTAAAATAGCTTTTTCTGCTTTGAGAGCATTTTGATTACTAAAGCCCTTCCCAGGACAGATTTATCCTGTGATTTAACATTTTGTGATGGAGTCTCATTTTGAATCAGTTGAATAATTGGCAGCGACTTTGGTATTAAACTGATTCATGATGTACATCCAGGCCCTTCAATAATTGGACATTATTGTCTTTATAATCAAAACCCTTTTTGCCCATTAAAAAGTATTGGAAACAGTCTAGTGATCTGCTTTGATTAAAAATAAAGTGCAGAGGATTGGGAATGATGAGGGATGGTCAGTCTTCCCCTTGGGTCAGCTGAAAGGCATTGCCTGGCTCTGCACAGCACCAGGCATGGGCTGATGTGCTTGGTGGTTCACTAACCAGCAGTAACTGTGGCTGCACAGGGAGCTGAACAGTCTCCATCCAAGTGATGAGCACAAAAATACACCCATTACCCCACCAAGCACTGGCAATACCTTTGTGCTCACCGAGCAGCTGGTCCAGGAGCAAGGCACGTGGCTGAGGACAGTATGCAGCACCCCTTGCCAAGCCCATCAGGTATCCAGGGATGTTCTCCCCGTGACGGTGTCCAACAGCCTTTGTCTCGCTGCAGGGTCTTGGAAGAAAACAGGGTTCAGAAACTCGTTTTGATCTCTTCTGTTTGGAAAGCCCTTAATTATAATCAATAAACCTGGGTGAGAAACCGAGGCAGTGCATTAGAGGCGATCTATGGCTCTCAACACCACCGAGGGACTAACGGAGGGTGAAGAAGGTGCTTTGGGTCCCAGCGCCACCCGGGAGAGGAAGGCTCAGCGCCGCGGAGCCTCGGCACGCCAAATCAAAAGCTGTCCGGTTCACACTCCACTCTTCCCCGGCCTTTGGCAGGGGCTATGATATAACAGGTTTTGCATAGCTGCTAGACATCTTCCTAATAGTATCCCCTGTGAATTCTAAATTTCAGTCACAGCCTCTAAATTTTCATTAAGAGCAGTCACACAGAGAGGATGATGGATTAGATTTTATTGTTGGAAAATCTCCAGATAAAATTAAAGTGCTTCTTTCTTTTCTGAAACCTTTACCTTTCCCCTGTGGTGCCCTATAAATAAGGTATCAAATAATGTTTATCCTTTTGAGTTCTGCAATCTTACATGTTTCATACTTACTCCTGACCGCTCTCCTGCCTCTTCAGAGATGTCACTCTGCAGTTAAAGACACGCTACCTCATGGACTTTGCTTTATTGCAAAGCAGCCTCACTTTGTGTCCCAGCTGCATTTAGGAGACTCCACTTAAGCCCAGGTACGTATTTGTAAATACACCGTTGTCTCCTTCCTTTTCCTGGACGGTTTTCTTTCATTTCCTTCCTCCTCCCCATCCAATTCCCTATGTCCTTACTTTTTTTTTCCCTGGCTCTCCATCCTCTCCGCGCACATCTAATCTGTCCAGCTTGCAGACAGATGAGACACCACTTTGGTATACGCCGCGATCATGGGGCCCACTTTCTGCTGGGAACCAGCCGCTGCCTCCAATAGCCAAACCATGATAAGTGGTATCCGCTCCCACTGCCCCTGGCCAGCAGATTTTTATAGCAGATGTTGTTTCTTCCTACAGTAAAAAGGAGAGGAAAAAACCCCGTGTTCTTTTAAGACCGAGATCTTAAACAGTTTTAGATGCTTTTAGCCTTCACTTAACTAAAAAGCAAGCGCCCTGCAGGCAGTTGGTAGGAAGCGTTCAGGAGCTGGTAATGCTGGCATGATTCATACTGGTGTCAGCTCGTTTAAATTAAATTCCATGGGGATTTATCCAGCAAAGGCTCTGAATGAGTTTTAGACAGCATCCCCCATCCCGCTCACTTCACAGCATCTTAAATGAATACAGTGCACAAAGGCCAGGTCTGCACCAAGACAAATGGCTGGTCGAGAGGAGCTTTTTGGGGTACCAAATGGGAAGAAGGGTCCCTGCTTCCCACCATGAGCACAGGGAATCAACAGCCGTAAAGGGAAGAGAGAAAAGCCGTTTTTCTGCTGGCATAACACAAGTCATCACTGTCAAAGGGGATCCCCTTGTCCTGAATTAGAGTCCCACGTGGGGACTCAGCCCTGGGGGTTATGTGACTTAGCCTAGGTGACCTCAAAGGACATCCCTCATCCTCAGCAGGGCTGCAGCCAGCAGCAGGACTTCCCCACCCCAGAAGGCTACGGCTGATTTACCCTACTTGGATGGGAAGATAATCCACACTACCAGAGAGCCAAGCCAGCTCCTTGTCTCAGAGATCCACCATGGATCATGTAGGGCCCAGCTCCCTCGATGTGTACAGAGAAGGTGGAAGGATTTCCAAGAGCACATGCTATCCTTCTTCTCCTTACAATGCCTCTCCCCAGGAGCATGCAGGGACCTATCAGCACAGGTGATATGTGGATGTCAAACTCCTTAAAGTCATAAGAATTTGACTCATTTGCAGCATTTGGGCATCAGTCTCTTGGTTTTCCCTCCAGCTTTGATTAGCCACCACTGCCCTAAGGGCTGGTGAACAGAGAAAGGACCCTAGGGCCCACCGGCACCCATGGCAGTTGTCTCCGTAACTATTTCCCTTTGCCAAAAGCTGCCTCAGAACCCTTCTCACACCAGTGGAAAAATCATCCACGGGCTGGGAAGCAAAGAGAACAGGATCCGAGTCTCATCCTCTCTGCTGCATTTTAATGGCATCCCAAAGGAAGCGGCGCGGCCTTGGCCACTTGCGGCAAAGGAAAGTGAAGTCGCTGAGTTTATTGGCCACTTTTATTAGCTTGTCTGTGCCATGTTTCGCAGGCTGCAGTGCCAGAGATGGGGCCTTGGAGAGGCAGAGGTGAGCCCAGGAGAAGAGTGAAAAGCTGGAAAGAGGAACCTTGTAAATTGGGTACCAGCGAGGATGGAAGGGGGCCAGAGCTGACCGAAATCTGCCATGAAACGAATGAGATCGCAGCCTCCCCTTCCCTGTGCAGGAGTCACGACGCCCACAGCTGGGAGAGCGGCCAGTGTTATTTTTGGGCAAGATTTATGCAAGTTCCAAGCAGAGTCTCAGCGAAAAGGAAACGAGGGGGAGAGATGGAGGTTTCTTTTTTAACAGAGATGTTGGGAACACGCGGGAGTCATGAGCAAAGAGGGCGAGCATCTACTCTGGGGTCGAATACCTCTGGACTGGACAGACCATGACCAGACCACCACAAACACAACTGTTCCCGAGGAACAGCTAAACCAGGCTCCCTGTCTCTGCCCCAGGTCCCACTGCACGTGCTGTGTGCAGGATCACAAGGCCACCGTCCCACATTAGCTCATGCAAGGAAGCAGAATTGCTTTGGTCATTTCCTAAAAGGCCAGTCTCCATGGACAGGGTGAGAGCAAGTGGCATAGGGAAGGCCAGGACCTTTAACTCCGTTTTCATTTGGGAGGGAGGTGTTGATGTTTTAAATGCCATGAATGATAGATAATTGGCAGTGTCTTGCATTCATGAAGTCACTGAAAAGCAAAGAAAAAGCTCCTTTTTGATGCCTATGGTAACAACCCAGTACTGGGTTATAAGTGACTCAAGTGATGGAGGGGCACACTTGGAGCCAGGAAGCTGGGAAGCATGCCCATGGGCCAGCACACTCAGCAGGGTGTTTCACAAGGATCTGGCCACCATCCTATCCTTGCGCTGCTGGTGAAGTCATTGTGGCTTTGTGCCCCTCTCCTTGTCCCATTCCCAAGAGGATGGGGTAGAGCAGCTCAGCACGTCAGGCAAAACATCATCGTCTTCATGCCTGATGTCTCTCTGGGGCCCCAGTATCGCAGGCGCTTGGAAGAAAGGTTTGAGCTGCCTGGGCTGAGCTGTTCACCTCCTGCCTTGTGCCAAGTACACACAGAGTGGAGCAGAGGAGCTGAGTCAAGAGCAGCTCCTCGCTGGAGGACTTTGCTCATGGGCTCACCTACCCATCACCATGGCTAGGAGATCCTGGGAAAATGCCATCTCTGCATGGGGAGATGCTGGGAACCACGAGATTCTGGTGGTCCCTTCTGGGAGCAGGACGTCAAGGTCTCTTCCAACCCTATCCATTCTGTGATTCTATGATCACAGCAAAATTCCCAGGAAGCTCAAACCCCAGGGGATTATGGAGGGATCTGTGCATTGTTTTGCCAATACACCCTGATTTTCTCTCTCCCTGGGTAATTCTAATGTCAGGCACACCCGAGATAAGCCTCAAGACATTACACTGAAAGAAACAGGCAGCTCAAAGGACATGTGTGGCCTTATCTTCTCCATGCATTCATTTGAATAAAACTGTTCCAAAGGTACTTTACATCAGTGTGTTGAAGGACAAACCCTACCTCGCCTCTAGGGAGTTTGTTTTATCAATGAAGCCTATAGGAGGCTTTCAACTGACTCAAAGGGCACCGGTGTTGCCCTTAGGAAAAGGCTCTGAAAGTCGAAACCCCAGGATGCGATTCCATTTGTGCCCAACCAAACCATCCCACTTCCTGTGCTCAGCCTGCCTGTTCATAAAGCTCCCGTAATTAATACTGAGTAACTGCTGAGGGGTTTTACAGGTCTTGGTGAAAGATCTGTTATTTACTGAGATGGGGAAGTTTAACTTGGAGAACATCACTGTGAGCCGGAGGCTTTCAGAAGAGCTTTATCAAATGGAAACTCAATGGTTTGTGGCGATAAGGAAGTTACCTGCAGGAAAAACCACCAAACTGAAGCTATTCCTGTAGTATTATATTCCTATATTAATATATTATTATATTCCTATATTAATGTATTATTATATTCCGGTATTAATATATTCCTAATATATTAGCTGAAGCAGATAGATTGTTTTAATATGGAGATGTGTATGCACAAAGACCAAAACTCAACCACGTATCCATATATGAGTAAGAACAAATATCTTTGCTAAGGAACCTCAGCATGGAATGGTGGAAAGAAAACCATTTTGAGGAAAACCATCTCCAAAAATGCAATTCTTTTTTTTCTCCATCAAAAATAAGGTTCTGAGTTTTACCAACAACAACAATGCTCAAAAAGATCTGGATTAACTTGAAAGCTGCTTCACTTTCACTCCATTGCTTTTGCCCCTCCGCAGGGAACTCCTCAGTGCACAGTTTCCAAATGGTAATGAACAACAGCCCTTTCTCTGTACCTTTTAGGGCCCGATCCACCAGGATCATCCATAAATATTACTTTAAAACCATTCCTGAGGAGCTCCCGGGGGCCAGGAGAGCAGCCAGTGTCAGGAAGTGTCAGCTCCTGCTCCCTCTCCTCCTCGGGATGCTGGTAGCCTGGCTGGGAAAGAACAGATGTGATAAATGCTGGGAGATTTACAGCACAACCCCCCCCACGGGAGCCATAAACCCACAATTTGTTCAATTTCAAAAGCAGACCTCTGCCCGATGCAGGACCTTTCAGCACTGCTTATAAAGCTGGGCTTAAAAAGCCCGGGATCCTTCATGATAAAATACACCCAAAGTTCACTTTTCAACCACTGCAATGCCTAAAAGATGGAGATGGGGCAGCTGGAGGGGAAGAAGGAGAGGACGGGACCAGCAGATCCTGCCTCGGCCTTGCTCTCATCTTTCTTTGGCACAGAGGTATCCCGTACTGGGCATACTTAGGGCAACAGGGCCAGAAGGGGTTGGAAACTGGTAGAGCAGATTGCACGACACTCAAGGTCTGCTCCCAGATTCCCTGCACGAACCTCAGGTGACCGCTGATGGACCTCATACCTGTTCTTGACCCCCAGTGGGAGGCTAAAAGCCCACTCACAACCAAGAAATGGTTTGGTGTCACAGCCTGACAGCACCAGCCCAGTCAATCAAACCCGGCCTTGATAAAGGTGTCTGCACAAACACCTGAAGGTCAAGATCACTGTCTGACCTAGCTCCCCCATCACCTCCACATCTAAGATGATCAGCTTTCAGCTAGTCAGGATGCAACACCTCTTTTGAGAGCCTTACACATCACCACCCACAGCGCAAAAGGAGATTTTGGCATTACACTCACATGGCTTCTTCACCTCTTCCAAGCCCACAAGTGTTTAGTTTTGGCCTCACACTCAATGTGGCCTCAAACTGAAGCACTGCATCACCCCCTCCCACAGACCTGTGATGTTCACAACGTTCATTTGGCTCTGAATGCTGAGCTGGGTCCTCCTCTGGCATCCCAGCCCTGGAAACCAAGTGAGGAGTGAAGCAACGTTACCCATATAATGCTTGAATAAGAGCAGAGTTCTGCATTTATTGCTTAAGTAGTTTGAAGTGATTGTAATGCAGCCAGATTTATTTCTTATATACAGTGGTGGACTTATTAAACTTCCAGAGGAGCTCTTTAAACTGTCATTTGGGGTTTAATTGCTGAATATAACTCCCTGCTTCTAAAAAGCTGCTGTGCAACAACCCCCCTTCCACTCACCCTCTTCTTCTGCTCCGAAGGAGAAGATCCCCGAAAGCACAAAGGGTTAAAGCTTTGCCCTGCCTAGTCCAGTCCATCCCCTCCTCCCCCAGATTGCGAACAGTAGAAAGGAAAGGATTAGAGGGGAGAGATTTATGGACTAGCCCATCACAGAGCCTCAGTTCGCACTTTGATGATGGGGGAACAGCCCCGCTCCAACAAAGGGGCTGTAAAGCATGCCCACCAGTAGACTATCTATTGAGGGGAGCCAAATCCCTCCTTGGATTATTAAGGGCTCTGCAAGTCCTTGGAAAGAAAGGCTGCACCTTTTTTATTGCTGCATTATTAATAAAGAGCTGGTGAAATACTTACTGCTGCTCTGTAAATCTTCCAAGGGCAGGAGTAGGTTGCACAGACTTTTGGGCTGGAAGGAAACGGAGTGGCCATGGGGCTTGACCTACGTCCCCCATCCCAACCATGGCGAGTGTCTCTGGAGCAGGGACGTGGCAGGAGCCCAGCTCCACTCCTGGCATGCTGTGGTGTGCTGGCACTACCCAGCCAACAAGCAGCTGGGGTTGAATATGGGCTCAAACCAAACTATCATCTATCAGGTTTGGGTTTAGAGGGCAGGCTGAAAGAACAGAATCATAGCAGAGTTTGGGTTGGAAAGGACCTTAAAGCTCATCCAGCTCCAACCCCTGCCACGGGCAGGGACACCTTCCACTGGAGCAGCTTGCTCCAAGCCCCTGTGTCCAACCTGGCCTTGAACACTGCCAGGGATGGGGCAGCCACAGCTTCTCTGGGCACCCTGTGCCAGCGCCTCAGCACCCTCACAGGGAAGAGCTTCTGCCTAAGAGCTCAGCTCAGTCTCCCCTCTGTCACTTTGACAGCTCACTCACACTTCTGCACAGTGACTTTGCTCCCACCACAAGCCCATTCCAAACTGCAGAGCCAGGACCTGTGTCCCATGCAATAGAACATTTGCTCTCCCACACTCAAGTCCTATTCCGAAAGAGCCATGAAACCCCTGCTTGCTCGAGGTGACCACAGCACCAGAGGGGGGACATCACCCATCCCCTTGCTCTGTGCAGGGCTCAGCCTCCCCTACATTAGCACCTGTTTGGAACAAACACCCCCACAATAGCTCAGAGGAGTTGGCTGAGCTTTAGAAAGAGTGCAAATAAATAACCCCTGAGGACTACCAACAAAATGCAGGCCTTGACAACAACAACAAGAAGTTTCCTTCCTAATTTCAGCTTCTGGCCATAAAATTTTACTTTCATGTAACAGCATGAAATCCACACAACCGGAGCAGGGGTTTCTAATAAAAGGCAGAGCTGATGGAATACCCGAGCCAAGGTGGTTTTATAAGCCAGAAGAAGAGAGACAGAAACACAGAAGGAAAATAGTTTTCTTGACTGCCTTCCAGAAAGGAATTCTCTTTAGATTCCCTTTAGCCATGCTGGAGTTCTCCTTCCTCTTCTTGCATGGGTTTTGTCCCCTTAAATGCTGTCTCTCTTAACCTATGCATTAATGCCAGCAAGTCCAAGCCTCTCATTTCTTTTTGCATCTCAGCCCTAATGCATTTAAAGTGTTTGCACACAGAAAACAGAGCGACTTCCGTTAAGCTCCACCTCACCCCAAGGCCCAAACCGCGTGAAGGAAAATGCAACACGTCCTGCACCCAGGATAATGCTCCCCTTCCAATGCACAAGACGGAGGGAAAACACTTCCCCATGTCCTAAACTATGAGGTTTGAGAAGAGACTAATGTCTGCTAAAGGGTCAGCAACAGCTCTCAGCTCAGTGAAAAATGACTTCCAAATGCCCCCTGCCCTGGGGATTTTATAAGGGAAGATGGATCTTTCTATCTGTTTTCCTTTCTTCTTCAGTTTTCAACTCTTGACCTACACTGTGAACAGAAACCTCCCGGGTGTGAGCCTTAGGAAGAGGAAATGCTTCCTCCAGTTCATTTGTCTTCGGTGGTCTGTGCAGCTGAAGAGACGCATGTGGCCAAAGAGATGCTGTTCCCAACCCTGCCCATCCTGGCCTGGCTGCCAGAGGGTTGGATCTGCAGCTCCATTAGCAGGGATGAGGTCGGCCATTCCTCACCTGGCCCTTTGCAACTGGGAAAACAAGAGTTAGGGCAGCCTTGGCCTCACTTATGGGCAGTCCAAGACAAAGAGAGGTTAATGTATTTACCTGGGCATGAAGGGCCAGATCGTAGAGCTGGGAAAGGTACTGATGGACACTGCCTTGCAGACACCATGAGTCCCAGGAGATCTGCTCTGGTGAACTCCCACAGCCACCATGGTTCAAAGCATCCCTTCTCTCATGTCAGAGCACTACACGAGTCACAGATTCCAGACACAGCTTTCAAATGCCTTAAACCCCACGATCCCCAACTCAAGGTTCAAGGGCAACATATTGCCACAAGATGTTCCTGCTTCCAGCATCATTCATGGCCATTGGAAATCACCATGGCAATAACCCCAACAGGGAAAGGATGGTGTGGTTTGCAGCAACCTGTCTGGGAGATAATCCAAACTGGATGACTGGGAACCAGTTCCTAAAGGTTTCCGGATGAAAGTTCTGCTTAGCACATTATTTATAACCAGGGTGGAAATAACTAAAATGGGAGTATCTGAATAATTCAGGCCTAAGGGAAGTTCTTTGTTGCATCTTAAGACAGCTCCAACACACGTTACCCTGGACATTGTCCACCTCCAGGAACAGAGCAAGCCCTGTGAAGGAAGGAAGGAAAGGGAAGAGGGAATGAAAAGGAGCATGTCCAGGCCTCCCCACCCAGCCTTTTCCCTTTCTTAATTTGGGGCCCTGATTTTCTTATTGTTTCCCAAAGTCCCCCAAGCACGACCATGGATGGGAACATCTCCCCGGTGTCCAGCAGAGCTATTCCATGCAGGCAGCCCAGGTGTTTCACATGGCAAATGGGAGGTGATTGATCTCCAGGAAGACAATTTACCAGCACCTGGTGACCTGAGGAGCTGAAACCAGCTGCACTTGATGCTGCAGAGCTAATGGCATAAGCAGGGGGAAGCACAGATGTGAGCAGCACAGGCACAGACAGCAAGAGATGGTGCCCTGGGACAAGGCTCATGGACCTTTGGCTCTTTGGTACACCTACAGCATGACTTCCAAGTGGGATGTGGAGAGGAAAAGGCTGGGGGCAGCAGTTCCCATCCTCACCCCAAATTACCTTCATGGGAAGATGGAGGTGAGGCTGGACCACATCCTTCCATGCCTGACATGGGGCCAAGTCATGTTCCCTTCTCAAACGGAAGGTAAGGAGAAATGCCCTTGCAAGGTTTTCTCCTTTATGACAGTTGCTGAGAGGCTGCATGAGGTGGGCACCAGCTGAGCCCACAAAATGGGCTTTCCACAGCCAGGAAAAGGATGCTTCAGATGCAGATTAGGGAGGGAGAGAAGCAGAACCTGAAGACCCCATTAGATTTCAGTGTCATGGCTTCCATCATGGACTTTGTTGTCCATTTAAGAAGCAGGAGATTTTAGTCCCAAGTTCACAACTTGGGCCTGTCTCCTTAGAAAAATAAAACGCAAGAAAAGAATCTTTATAGGACAATTTGTTGCTCTCCATGAAGGCTCGAGAAAGCCAAACTGCTCGGCCTGGAGGGCTGCAGCTCTGCTGTGGAAATGGATACGGCAGCATCCCGCCTGCCCTCTCCTTCTTTCAGCAGGAAGATTCCCTTTGGTTTACAGCAGCCCATGCTCCAGGGGAAAAAACAACAACTGCCGCTGTTATTCTTTATGAAGGCAGCAAGAGGGCTGAATAAAAGAGGTTGCATCCAAAGCACAATATGAGATGAAAAAGACGTCCAAGCTCCATGGCGCTAGATAAAACAAAGCACGCAGCAAAAGAATCAAATGCTGAAATATGTATTTCTTGTGGGTATGAATAGAACTGTCTATGTTTGCCTTGGAGACAGGGGGAAGGAGGCCAAACGGTTTCATCTCAGCAGGTATTGCTTTTCAGTACAGAGACATCGAGCAATTTAAAGCCCTCCTGCCAGGCCATTTCAGCAGTCACAGCGGTGCTCTCGCTGAGCTGCTCAGTGCTGGCTCATGGAGAGGTCACCTCCATGCTGCAGCCCATGCACAGGTAGATGCCCTCACACCTCTTGCCCTATCACAGATGTTAGCAGTGAGAAAAGCCCAACAATGTCAAGGTAAATCAGCCATCTCCATGAGCTTTATCCAGCTATCACCCTCCTCCTGCCAGCCTGGCTCCCACACTGGGCAGTGCCAGACTATTTGGTGCCTTCTCACTTCCCTGACCTCAGGGATTTTGGACTGGAGGGCAGGGAAATGGGATTTGTTCTGTAAAGCACTGGAGAACAGATAGCCATTATCCTTGGCACACACCAGTATCTCTAGCAGCCCCATAAGGACACATAGCAACCAAGATCCACAGATATATGTCTTCTTCCTCCAAACAACCTTGCCCACTGCCATCCCAGGCTGTGCATGACCACGTTTCCTTTCATCTCTGGTCTTGCCCCAGTACTTCCATGCTCACAAGATGTCTCAGTGTGCCCAGCAGCATGAGGGACCCATCTGGTGCTGGGTGATGAACCGGTCAGAGGAGCAGGGCCAGGTCCCAGAGGTGATGAGTGAGCCCAGCCAGTCGCTCAAAGAGGTGAAGGCAGAAGGTCTCCAGGTGTGAAGGTGCAGGAGCAGGTGCCCTGCAAATGTTTTCCATGTGTTTGCTTGGAAACTGGGATGAGCTCATTGGAGAAGAGCCCTGTGGATGCTGAGCGCACCCAACTGCCCACTGGCAGGTTGGGCATGTCGGTAGTTCTGATATGCTGTGCTTCACAGAAAGTGCATGGTTGGGTTTCACCATCTGCTTCCCTCCCCCTGGACAGCATCAGCATCTCCCCTGTCTCTGAGCAGCCCATCCACGTGCAGAAACTCAGTGCCTGACAGTGATGGAGAGCAGAAGCAGCTGATGAATGACATTAAGCACAGGAGGAGGTAGATGTTTCCTAGCTAACCTGTTCTTCCTGAGCAAGGCTAGACCTGCTCCAGTGTCTCCTCTGGTGGTTTGGGCCAGCCCGTTACCCAACCTTGTTGCTGTTCATCTCCATAGAGAAGCCAGGTGGTCTGAGAGCACCCCCATCCTCCCTGGGCACATTGTCTCCTCTACCACCCTCTGGTTCCCCCATGCTCTGAGGCTGAAAATATGGGTTTAATAATGTGCCCATAAATCACTCTGTCCATAGCAGCTGATAGGGGTGGTGCTGCTGGGAATAGGCCCAAACTTCCCAGGTGCAGGAAAGCCAACACAACCTCAGAGCTGGTGCCACAAATGGTGGCTCCCATCAGCCCATGGCATGAAGGTGACTACCAATGAGACCCAAGGGCAGTGGTCAAAAACAGTGCAACCCACCCTCCAGAGAAGCAAGGGTGGGATCCAGGGCCCTGAGTAAATGGTACCATGTGAGATGCTCTGGGGTCTCAGGACAAACCATGGAGCTGCAGGATCTATGGGACACTTGAGCCTGCTGGAAGAGCAGTTGGAAGCCAGGTAAGGTCCTGCAGGGCACCTCAATGGCACCAGGCACCTACATTCAGGCACCCAAAATGTGCCCAAGGTCTTGACATGGGACCTAGGTCTTGGCTCTGGCATCAACTATTAATATCATACAAGGATAACCCTGTGGTGAACCTACCTGTGCATCCTCAGCCATCACAGACCTGAGCTCATGAGTGTCTGGGAGGGATCATTGCTGTTACAATCCCTCTTCTGCAGCCAAGGAACTGGAGTACAGGGAGATGAAGTAACCCAACCATGTTACTGTGGTTCTTGGCTGTCTGTGGTCTGCCTCAGAGCACTGCACTGACAGCATCTGCACATGGGACACATCTTGTCCCCATTCACAAGACCACAGGACAATCCTGCTTTCTCAGCAGCAGCGAGAGCCACAGCAGATGCTGTTGGCAGAGATGGCACCACCTCAGTGGCAGCACAAATGCCCTTAGGGCTGCCTAAAAAGAAATGTCATGTCAAAATGACGACATCAACATGCGTATTTTACAGCCCTCCCCAGATTTTTGCTATGGATTCTCCCAACGGAGTCACACCGGCCTCTGACAGACACAGGATACGTCTCATGACAGATTGGTTGTTTTAGAGGGATCCTGTTCTCCAGCTCTAATAATTTGGGAAGCTCATTTGCAGCCTTGGAAGCCATTAGCCAGCAATCCTCTGAGCCTGCACTGGGTTTGCAGCCTGTCAGGCTCCCTCGTCCCCGAGCATCCATCACTCTCACACCTCACTCCTGCACTGACACTGGAACAACAAGTGAGATCCTGCACCGGTGCAAAGCAAAGTCCCGCAGCTGCACAGCACGGCAGTTCCCCAGTAAATAAACTGGTTGGGATGACTCTTTCCCTGATCTTATGATGGATGATTTCAGATTCTGAGAGTGGCTTGGGTTCAGGGCAAGGGATTCTGTGACGAGCAGCACCCCAGACCTTCCCATTTACCCTGATCTTTCCACCACCTCTTTGCACTCAGCAATGATGACAGAAAAGGCAAGAAAAGTAAAGAAAAGAAGAAATCACAGCAAAGACATATACCTGTGGCACGGTTTTGCACCATAAGGCCCGTTTGCTGCCCATACAGACATCTGAAGGGCAGAAACCATCCCCACATTGAAGGCTCTGACTCTTCCCAGCCTGTTTCTTTGTCTCTGCTGCTCAGAGGAGGGATGGGAAACGCAGCCGTCTGGGCGCGATGTCTTCGCAGTGGGACTTCACCTGATATCAAGGCAACAAGAGGGGTTTTCACCTGATCCTGGAAACAATGCCATCCATAGAAGCCCACATTGTTACCTTGCCATTTGGAAGCAATTACCTGCATGTTATGTAAAACGCTTTATGAAACGACTGGAGAAATTCAGTAATGTGTTAATCATGGCTTGAATGACATCTGCTTAATACCAGAGCTTTCTGAGCTGCAGGAGGAGGGGTCAGCAGTTCAGAATGATTACCAAAACATATTGCTCCTTTTTGCCTTCTCCTACGTGTTAATTTTTCAGATTTATTATCTTAGGCTCCTGCCCTGAGTGTTTTCACTGCATGTCAGCATCTGTTATATCTCTGCATTTCACAGCTCTTTAGGCTTTGCCCCATGAAGCCTCAGGCACTCGGAGGAGAGGCGCAGCCAGCTCTAACCCAGGGCTTATGCAATTTTCCAAAGTAATCCAAAGGACAACTACAAGGGAAATTTGGCTCATGGAGGCATTTCTGGCATTAAAAAAGGCATCGGTAGATGGACTCCAACCCAAAGAAACCAGGCAGGTTTAGAGACAAACCTGGCTGTCAGGGCAAGATGTGGTACATGTGGGGTGCTGCGAGTCTGCTGCTCTTTGAGAAACATGTGGTGGTAGAGATGGGTCATGGAAAGATGCTCAGTTCATTTCCACTCCTTTTCTTTGCTCACACAAACCTGGAGTCATTCCATACATGCCAGAAAATCCTCCAGGGATACTCATCCTTTTGAAATGCAGAGCAAGGAATAAGGGATGTTCTGCCCAAGCCATTGTGGCCAAGGGGCTTGACACGACCATGGAGATCTGGGACCTGGCTGGGACATTGGGCTCCAGTCTGGGCACAGAGGTGGGGGACAGGACACTGCCCATAATAAACCCACAGTCTGGGCTAGGATTCTTCCTGATTTCCCTGTTTTTTTGGGAAGGGGAAGGGTGAGGCTTACAAACACAGTGCTAACATTTACCTGCTGGTGAAATCTTTTCCCTCATCTCCCATTCCTGTCTTCCTGGGGCTGCTTTTGCTGGCAGACACATAAGAAAGTCCCTATCCCTGCTGTCTGAGATGCAGACAGAAGCCTTCTGCCCATCACCTTGCAAAGGCAGTTCTTACTCCTGGGAAACCAGCCGCAGGCTCATCCAGGGGGAATCTCCACCAGGGTCCCATTAGCTCCTGCAGACAATGTGGCCTCAGCCTGGGGATGGAGGGAAGAATCATCCTTGGGATGCCAGGATTCCTCTCAGGGCATCAGTCAATGGAGCTGTAATAGAGAAAGTTCACCTTAACATGACTGAACAGAACATCTTTATGCAGTGCCCCACATCATGTTCCAGAAGACGTTCACATTATATACGACCCACACGATTTCTGCTCCCAACCATCAGCCACGTTTCTGATTTATGCTTTCCTGATGATTTTATTCCCTCACCCATGATCTGCCCCTTTTCCCAATCAAAATTACAGCTTCCATTTATCATTTCTCTGAGGACTGCTATAATTCAGCCATGCCCCATCTCTCCTGCTTCACCTGACACACGCTTTCTGTCCACCTCCCTTTGTAGTTGTGTTGTTTCTGTAACCTCACACATCTTTCAACATCCTCATTTTCTGCGGGTGAAATAGAACATAAAGTAACCCCAGAATCCTTCAATGCCACCTCCAAAGCTGCAGAACTGTATCACATCGAATAAAACTTATGTTTTATTTAACAAGGGAACTTCCTGCTCTTATTTTTTTGCTGCTTTACTTAATTAGGTAGCTCCACTTGCTGTCTTTGGAGCAGTGATCCCCTTTTCCTCCAGATCCATTAACCTGTGTTGGGTTCATGCCATTTTTCTGGGAAGCACACAGAGAAAGGCACATCCCAATGCTCTGTTTCCTATCACTGTGCTGCCATGAGCCTGAAAACACTCATTCCTTCTAAACTCCTGCCTGGAGTAATGAAAAGTAATCATAAAGAGGTGGGAATGGCTGCATTCCCTCAGGCTCATGGTCCCATATCCATCCTGTGATGGTGGCCAGTGCACTTCAGAGGGAAGCTTCTTCTCCACACGAGCGTCTGCCTCCCCTTGAGCAGAGCCTGGTCCAGTTTGTGCTGAGAGCTGGGCAGGAACCCTTCCCGTGCTCTGAAAACTGCTGCTGGAATCCCAAGGGCTTGCTGCTGGTTGGGATTTGTTGTGTTTTGTCAAAAAATTCCTCCTTTTTCTCCATCTTGGAGCACAATTTCCCAAAAGTTCCGTGAAAAAGGTAAAATACAGAGTGGTCGGTACCCAGGATGGGATTTTTCAGCACTGATTTTGAGTAGGAAAACAAGGAATGCTTGCAGACGTTCACTGAAACCTTCTTCCAAGCCTGAGCACAAAGAGGGAAGAAGAGAAATGCCGACATGGAAGCGTAACCTATGGGCAAGAACTTTTGGAAGACTCTGCTTTACTCTTTCATATTAAACCCAGAGCTTAAAGATGCTGCTCTGTAGTTAAAGATGATTTGAAAGCACTGAGCTCTGGCAGTTGTTCTCCTGCACAAATGTGTGACCTTGGATGACACCGACCTGCCAAAAAAGAAGGGGAAAAAGAAGGTGTTGCTGATAGTTATTTATTTAATCCTCCGATTCCTCATTCATCATCAGGTAAATTTGCTCTTGGCAGCACCGGCAACTTCCTCAGCCGCAGCCAAGGTGACCACTAAAATTAGCATCAAATCCCAGCAACACTTTACATCACGGACACGTTATTTTTCACTGGACACAAACTGGGAGGTGTTTCGCCTTTGTTTTGAATCCCGGGGGATCGGGTCGTTACTCCGGGCATTGCTCCATGCTGGGGACGGAACCGGACGATGCAACCGGCTCCAAATGTGGAGGTTCAGCTTTTTGTGTCAGTGGAGAGGTTTTTTCTCAGCCCTTGCCAAGATGAATGAGTAAAACCTCTGAAGAAATGGCCCTGACGGAAACCTCGGACAGTAAAACACCATTTTCATCCTCTCTCATAAATACTTTGCTTAATGAAAAGTCCTCGAGGAGCACATTTCCCTGTCAGAGCCAAGGAAAACAAACGTGCACGTGGTTAAAGAGCACCGAGAGCTGTGAACGCCAACAACCCTCTCCGTGTCCTGGTGTTACCAAACAGCTCCATCCCCATCCCTGCTGGAGACCTCCTCGTCGTTCCCAGGTAGGAGAGCAGTGGGATGCTCTTTTCCATCATGCTTGTGCCATGCTGGGAGTTCAGTCTGCTTTAACAGGCAGGAAACACAGACTTCTCAGCAGAATACAATGTTTGGCTGAGGTGGATGTGAAAGGCCCATGGTGAGTGGGACAGCACAGGCTGGGGTGGCAATGGGTGCCCAGTGGACATCCAGCCATGTCCTCTCATCCCTAGGCAAGATTTTGAGCTAGAGGAGTGAAGCAAGGCAAGTAATGCAGGGGGGTGTAATTAACAAGATGCTTGTAGTTAACATTTAGGTGAAGCAACACCCAGGGATGCTCACAACTCACCGGGCTGGTATCCTAGGAGCCAGAAGTGTGGAGAGATGGAAGGTGAGGGCAGGTTATAGAGCATCACACAGTGCTTGAGTCTGGAGAAGGCAGGTTATGACTTGCTCCATAATGTGCAGGATCCACTTTGCCACAGACCTCATCCTCTGAGGAAGCTGCAAGCATAAGAATGAGGAAAAATCCATCCCTGGAGACATTTGAGGCCAGGCTCAAAGTGGTTTGGGCCACCTGATCTAGTTGAAGATGTCCCTGCTCACTGCAGGGGGGTTGGACTGGATGAGCCTTGAAGGTCCCTTCCAACCCAGACTGTTCTTTGATGCTAAAAAATCCATCAGCAACGGGAAGATGAACATTTCCTGCAGGAGCAGCCAGCAGGGTAACACCTGAGACCGACAGTCCTGACATCTCCAGGCACCACCCAAAATGATGGTTTAAGGTCATGGAGTCCAACTACAAACCTAAGATATTTTATGAAGCTGATCCCTCGGGATCACATAGCCAGTGAGCGTGCCAGACCCTCCTTTGTATGGGAATAGGGGACAGGAACACCAAAGGGTCAGAAGCCTGTGGTGCCAGGCTGCTCTGCAACACCTACCTGCACCCCAGTGCAGCCCCAATACATGAGAGCCCATTCCTGGGGCTGGGACACTTCAGCTGGGCAGAAGCACCAGGATCCCATCAGAAACAAGAAATTCAATGGGCTGCTGAAGAACCTTATTGATTTCAAATAAAGGAACCCCTAGACAGCAGGAAAGGGGGGCCTGGGGATGCCATAGACATGGTCCTACCTATTGAGATGCTGATTTCATGGCGCTAAAGGGGTTGGGGGATAGGGCGGGGGGGGGGATGGGGTGGGGGGATGGGGTGGGGTGGGGTGTCATGGTGCACTAGAGGGCACTGTCGCCTGCATATCGTGACAGGGGGGATGCGGAGGATTTGTAAGGATGCCCTGAGCCCACAGAGAATATAGGAAAAATCACAGAGTGGTTTGGGTTGAAGGGACCTTAAAGCTCCTCCAGCTCCAACCCCTGACACGGGCAGGGACCCCTTCCACTGGAGCAGCTTGCTCCGAGCCCCTGTGTCCAACCTGGCCTTGAGCACTGCCAGGGATGGGGCAGCCACAGCTTCTCCAGGTACATCAGCATCACAACCTTTGCTGTCTAACATCTATCTATAGTATCTATCCCACCTTCTCAGGCCCCAGAGGGATGCTGCGTGAGAACTTCTGCGTGCAATGGTCAAACCTTTGCTCTCTGAATACTGCAATAGCTTTTGTAACACATTTCAACCCAGAAACACTCAGCCTCACGCCAGGTCTGGATGTAACCAGGTTGCTTCCTCGGCTGGAGATGGTCAGATCTTTGGAGTGTGGGGCAGAGCTGTGTGCCTTCCTCTGGATTTCTCCTTTATAAGATGGGATTTTGTTTGGGATTTTGGATGTGAGCGACAAGGAACAGCCCTGGGAGGGGAGGAAGGCAGCACAAGGGCTGTATAGGCAAAAAACATCACTTGTTAAAGAAACAAAATGAACAAAGAAGCAAATCCTGCCCCTGCAATGCATCCTTCCCTGGGGCAGGCTGTTCCAGGGAGCAGCCAGACGGGACGGGAGCAGCTCCGATTTCCATGGATGCAGAGACAGAACACAAATTCCCCAGCTGGAGTTGGGCCAGGAGCCCAAGGCTGGAAGTGCCACAAGGCTGCTAACCACGAGGTGGTCAGGATTTGGGTTCTACGTCACACCTATTTGTAGAGGAAGAGATTAAAGGCCTTGCGGACTCCTACGAAATTCCCAGTAGCAGCAGCTCTAGCGACTGGAGGCAAATCAGTTCCAGACTGAGACTTTCCATTAGTGGAGACCATTTAGGGGAGAAACAAGGAGAATATTCCAGTTGCTTCCCCAAAACAGTGACTTCCGAGCTCCTGACACTGTTGGTGAGGGCTGGAGAGGGGTGCATAGGCCAGGAGATGTTTCTGAGCGCCCTTGCTCCTGCCTTTCACACCGCTCCACAACAGTGGCCATACATGCCAAAGGGACAGAGGAAATCCTCATTTACATCACGTAGACATCCTGTCTTACCTGAGCTGCACCTCTGGAGCGTGGGGCCGTTGGGAATAGCTGTAGCTCAGGCTAGTCTGAATCCCAGGTCTCCCAGAAGAGCTCAGAGTGGGGGTGAGGACCTGATCCAATGTGGAGCATCCATTGGGAGACCATGGCTGTGCGGAGACTGCACCCCCCGAGCTGAAGCCAAACCCAAACCCCCCAGGGTTTGTTCTGATGAAGTGACCTGGCAGGAATTAAACTTCCCAAAGAGCTCGATGCCTTTGGAAGATGCTTTGTTTCTGGAGGGGTGATTTCAGCAGGAAGGGCTGAAGAGAAGGCGTGAGGTGTCCTTGGAAGCTACGTGCTCCTGTTTGAGACCCTGCAGAAACAGGAGAAACAGCTTTATGGGGAGGGGACCACCAAAGAGGATGGGTGCCCCTCTCCATCCCCAGCGAGCAGATATTATCTGCTAGAGCTTTCTTTCCAGTCTTCTTTTCAAGACATGATGTCAGGGCTCTAATAACCTGACTAAGGCAAAGCCCTGGATGGAACTGCTATTGTGTTTATCAATTTCCTTTCTTCTTTTCTTGTCTCGGTTAATCATGGAACAACGTGATGGAAAAGTCCTGTTAGGCCAACCTGCCTCCCAGCCAAGGCAGGACTGATCCCTACATCCACCGTCTCCTGTTTCATCCAGCCTATTTTTAACACATCCCCAGTGACAAGAGTTTTTGAGTCACAGGAGCGAGGAATGGAAAAGACCTATGAGATCATGCAGTCTGTCTCCTGGCCAGGGCAGCCTGTTCCCTGCAGCCCAGTTTTTAGTGGTTTAGCTTCCACCTTTCTTTCCCTTGGGACATTATCCTGCTGGCTAACAGATCCCACACTCAGGTTCGCTTGATGTCATGCTGGAAAGCAGGAACGTTCCTCAGCTGAAGGTGCTTGAAGACGTGTGGGATGGGAACAGGGTGAACGACCTGTCCTGCTCCATGAACCCTTCACGTTCCCCTGTGCTGATGCTGTGGCCAGCACAAGCTGGGCAGACCAACCTCAGACAGACCAATTAGCTCTGCAGCATCACTGTTAATTGGCTTTTAGGCAGGAATGGCACGGAGCTGCCTGCAAATAGCCTGCCCACAGCACACAAGTGCCTGCACACCTGCACATCCCTATGCAATCACCCCCAACCTGCTCTGCTTCCCCCAGCATGATCCCTCGGCACCATGCAGGGAGCTTGGATGGGTGCTGGGGGCTGCCATGGGTGCATGGAGCATGCCTGAGCCACGAGGTGCCCTTTATCCCTTGCTGCATGCGGTTTTCGGCTCTGCCCCAGCCTTATCTGCCTTGAGTAATGCAAAAGAATTGGTTGCTCCCCAGTGGACTGATCTAATAGCAGCACGAATAAAGTTATTTTGAACAGTTGTTCATGAGTTCATCTCCTGGAAAGCCTCAGCCCCAGCTGTTGCTGTGCTTTTGATTAAAATATAGAGAAAAAACATTAAACTCAAACTGGGGATTAGCAGAGCTGAGCACGTCCCAGCCCTCCCTCCTCCCCGTGTCAGGTGCCCGGCCGGGCTATAAACCACTCTTTGTGTGCAGCTCCCTCACCCCTTTCTCTCCGAGTTGGCACCAGCGCCGCTGGGATTTGGCAGCGCTCGGCTGGGTGCCGATAGCGGGATGCGGGATGCGGGATGCTGGCAGCGCCGGCGCGGCTCGCGGGTGCCCGGCTGGCAGGGGTAGCGTGCAAATGGTCAGCCAGGCCTCCAGCCAAGTCCATTTGTTAATGGGCAAGCTATGGGGGAACTGTTCAGGGAGAGGCAAATTGAATTAGGCACGAGCAGGGATAAAGGGAGGGTGGGAGCGGGGATGCGGGTCCATGATCACCCCTCTGGGACTGTGACCTGCAGCAGACACAAGTGTAAGCGCAGCCCTATGGAAGCCCATGGTGGTGGTGGTGGGGTGTCCTCTCAGGGACAACTAAGTTTCCACCATAAGCAGCTTGTGGAGGAGCTGGGAA